AATTTTCACTGTGATGGACTTGCGACCTGTCCAGTGAGTACTTCGCCCCTTGCACTGTGTGACTGCTGGTTATGGGCACCAGTTACCCTTAAAGGAGTAAGCAGATATAGATAATGGACAGATGGATGAAAGTTTAATTTTCAAGGACTACTACAGAAAACTGAAAATACTGAACATGTACAGACTGACCACATGCCGCCGTGCTTACACATTACCCAGGCGGAACAAAAACTAGTTCCCACCAACTGCATGTCTTAGACAAGATTTTAATAGTTTGGTTACTTTCTAATGTGTTCCAGTTAATGATATTCATGACATATAAATTATGTATCAAAGTATCAATATTTTGATTTTAGAATTGATTCTACAGCATAAAGTTCAGGTATCTGTGGCATTGATATTTTGGTTTGGTTTGCCTCATCAGCCTGCTGATTTTACAGATGAGCCAGAAAAACTAATTTAAAGAAAGAAGCTGTATTTTCTGTAAAACTCCAGGCTGCTAAATGTGAGGAAAATTTTCAGAATGAGACAAAACAGTCATTAATTTAAAAGGAGCGAGTAGCAAAATACTAGAGATAAAGAGGAAAACATTAGATCAGGGCTATTGAACTGGCGGCTCACAGGCCACATCCGGCCCGCCAATTGGTTCATTCATCTCTTAAGCCCAAACCCCCGGTTTTCCACTTTAATTACTCTTTCTTTTAGTTAAACATGGACATGTTTGGTATCTACAGAAACGTCAGAACCTTGACTAGGAGATGGTAAAAACCATTTATATAAACACTAAAGACAGTTAAAAATAAAAGCAGTTGAAGATAAAATGATGAAAGTGAAAATAAAATTGGCTTAAAAATTTGGCAAGTCAGAGATGTCAAAATATTATTTGTGTCAAATAGAAGGCATAATGTGTTCTTTTTGTTTTTGATAATGTGTGATTATCACTGCTTTTATAGGGTTCTGTATGTTGAATCATGATTAAATGCAGCAAAATAAACTAAATCAAAGATAACAGATCTTTGTAATACTTGGTTTATTTACATAATGACTTTAATTGCTGGATGTTCGGCCCCTCAGCTGTTGACCTGCAGAAACTGTGGCCCCCGGAGCAATTTAGTTGAATAGCCCTGCACTAGATAATGTAGCAAAGAGCAGGCTAAATCTAAAAGTAATAAAAGGCAAACTGGGCAGTTAATATAAAAAAACTGAAATATAATTTTCTGCAATACAAAATTTATTTGCATCACACAAAATATTTCAAAATGCATCAGAGGATGACCCCTCTCTGAGTAAACGTGTTGGTTTTCTGAGTGTTTTTGCTCTGAATCTTCCAGGCGGAGCTTCGTTCTGCTGATGGATGGATGGAGCAAAATGCTGCTGCAGTCCCACAACCACTTTACCCCTTCGCCAACGTCTCCTAGCAACCACGACCCTGCTCCCTCATTACTTGCGTCAGCTATCCGCCAAACTTCCCTCCTCGATAACTTTATTTATAAACCAGATGGTTGACACATCTCAGTGGATGACACGGCTCACGTCACCGCAGGGAAGCGCCGCTTTCATCCGCAACAAAAAGGCCGTTCAGTGCTGACATCTGAATGGACGCCATATTTGAAGAGTTAAAGCGATAAACAGTCGGGTGTGTCCTGACATTGTTAACCCCACACCTGAGAGCTCTGCGTCCTGTCCTGATGCTCGTTATGCAACACCGTTTTTCCTAAAAAGATGAAACAATCTTCTGTATTTGAGCACCCCGTAAATTAATACGTTTTAAATTATGCATGTACCCGGGGTCTGTGTAAATGCTGTTAGGTGAGTTATTATTTTTGAGTGCAGCTTCTTGAAGCGGAGGAGGAGAGAGAAGTCTATATTTAACTTTCCATTTATGGAAGACAAAAAGGAAGCAGCCCACACAGTGAAAAAACATGACCAGGAAAAAAAAGAAAAAAAAGAAAGAAAGCCTTTATTATTTTTGGCATCATCCGCTCTGAAACACACAAAACGCTCATTTGTGACTTCCTTTAGGATTTGACAAAGAATGAAGCTGTGTTTGCTTTTGTTTCGTGTCAACATCTCTTTAATTTTTAATTTGTTTCTGTTGAAACGAACAGATCAGGCACTAAATATGATAAATATGTTATGAGGGACAATTCAAGGGAACTAGAGAATCACTGGGCAAACAAATCTTCTGATGAGGCTTTGAACACAGCATTTGTCCCTGATCATCAAGCACCACTGATTACATATTATAATTCTGTTATTTTTAGACACTGTGCTGTCCAAACCAGATGGCTTGAGCCAGTCTGTGCATTCTGCCACTGATGACAACAATATTGTCAGGTTTCAGATTAGCTTTGGCCGCATCTGAATGTACAGCTAAATGAGAGGAAAGAACCCACACCTGCAGGAAAAATACAACACTTACAAAAAGTGCTGTTAAATCAGATCGAGATAAATGATGCTCCCTGACTCTGCTGCTGAACGAGAGTTCAAACAAAACAAGGTGGTGGTTACACCAAACGGTCGGGATGCTTAATGCATCATTAACACTCGTCGAATGGAGTGAGTCCAGGTTTAGGAACATATTGTTGCAAATTTCCCATAAGATTTCAAAATAAAAGCAGTAACCGCCATTGATGCTGTTTATTATGAGACTTTAAAGTTAAGTTTTACTTTGTTTTTAAGACAACATAATAGTGGGATCATTTCAAAATAACGTGCTTCTATGAAAGCCTTTCTAGAGTTTACATGTTCTCTCCGTGCATGTGTGGGTTTTCTCCCACAGACTAAAAACATGCATGTTAGGTTCACTGATAACTCTAAACTGTCCCTAGGTGTGAGTGAGAGAGTGAATGGTTGTTTGTCTTGTTTGTCTCTACAGCATGCAGAATAGTGGCCCTTGAGGACCAGAGTTGAAAACCCCGTGGTTTATAATATTCGGAACGATCAACAGAATTTGCTGCACATTGCAATCTAAAATATGTCTAAATTTTACAAACCCAACTCTAAATCTCATTTCAAAGTCATCCTAAACAACAACTCAACAATAATCTGTTAAAAGATGCCTGTTGGCAAAATCTTACTTCATCTTATTCATGTAAGGTTCCTTAAACTGAGGGACTGAATTCTTAATGACTCCTGTGCACTACCAAGACCTGATTCGCTTCGCGTTTTATCTTGAGCACTTGCTTACAAGAAAGTGCTTACAGGTCTGGCTCGATAAAAGAGAGTGCCGACAGCCTCTTTATCTCTGCAACAAACTGTGCGCGTCATCAGAAAAACCTCTGAACCCTACAGACTGCCAGCAAAACGGTTGTAAAGCAAGGCCAAGTAACCTCCAGCCTCCTGAGGGTCAGGAAAGGACTGCTGGTTTTCCCTGTTTAGCCCCCCTCTGCAGCGGACAGCAACCCGCTGCCGCTGATACTACCGTACAATATTACATCCCAGTTGGGTGGATAATCCCAGCGATCAAAACATCATCATCTCAGCTGAATGAACAATAACTGGAGCCATGCAGCTGCTGCTCGAGAGAACACACACTGAATATGTCCAACAAACAAGACGGACCTCAGACAAGAAGCACACAGGCAACAAAACAGGACAATTATTCCACTTTTGGGATAGAAGTTGCTTGCCATGAAAGATGGAGAAAGAGCGAGAGAGAGAGGAGGACAGATGGAAATGGCCACAGCAAATCCACTCAGTCAGAAAAAAACAAGGCTTCTCTCTTGCTGCTCTCTTTTCCCCCTCCTGTTTCTGCTCTGACGCAGTGGCCTCTGGGTAGACAGAGAGACTGTTGATGCCTTTTCTCGCTCTGTCAATTTTCCTCTTGTTTCTTACGCTTCTCCTCTCCTCTCCCTGCCCCTCGCCTCTGCTTCGATCTCTCTTCCTATTACAATTTAATCCGATATCTGAGTGTTGCTATCTCTGGGAGAGATGGCGGTAGTGGTGGAAACGATGCTGGTGACTCCGCTTCAGGTGTGTATGAGCTCCGCACAGGCTGCTGAGGAAACTAATTTCAGCCTGATCAGATATCAGATTTTTACTAAGAAAGGCCACGACTGACAGGAAAATTAAACTGCAGACAAAAATAAACTGCAGGTGTAAGCACTGCAGTGCTGTAGATCTCTTTATTTCCAGTCTAACTATGGCTATCTGACATATTTTGGACATTGAACAGTGCCACATCTTTTATCAGCAGGCTGATAAAGCTGCTAACGGGTCAAGACGTCTGCATGCAGAGCCCATAAATTAAATGGAGTAGGTCATACAATATAGGCAAACACAATAAACAGACAGAGAGTAAATCTGTAACAACAACCAAAAATAAACCAGCATTGACATCTACCCACTCATTCCAGAGATTTTTTTTTTAAGACTTACCCACTGCGGGAGCATCATACTCGTCCCCCAGCAGTATTTCAGGAGCTGAGTAAGCCAGGGAGCCACAGGAGGTGTTCAGCTTCTTCCCAGGTTGGAAGCGATTGCTAAAACCAAAATCGGTGAGCTTGACGACTCCCTGCTTCTCGAAAAACACCACGTTTTCAGGCTTCAGGTCCCTGTGCACCACATGGAGCTGGTGGCAGTAGGAAATGGCGTGGACGATTTGGGCAAAGTAACACTTGGCCACCTTGGAGAAGAGAGACAGAAATAGTATGAGGCAACAGGAAATTTATGTCCCATTATTTGGCTGTGAACCATTGTCAAAGGATGTCTGGAACAACATAGTAGATCTGCACAAAAGTAGAATGGACTACAAGACTAAAGGTGCCATTATTTGGGAGTGGAAGAAATACAAAGAAACCATCAATCACTCTCAGTCTGGAGCTATGTACTCTATGTCTCATGGAAAGAGGATGATCATGACTTCAGTCACAAAGAACACGTTGGTAACACTACACTGTAATCAACTGAAATCATCCAGTGCCTGCAAGGTCTTCCTGCTCAAGAAGGCACATGTTCAGACCCGTCTTAATTCTGCCAGTAAACATCTGAATGTGAGAGCGCACAAGAGAAATGTTTTTGGTGAAATTAGATAAAAATTGAGCTCTTTACATGAATTTGGTCCAGTGTGTTTGGAGGTAAAGAAAGGAGACATATGACCAGAAGAAAACCATGCCTAAAGTGAAGCACAGAAGTGGAAGTACCATGCTTTGGGGCTGTTTTTCTGCTATGAGTACCCAATAAACTTCATTGTACTGAAGAACCAATAAATGATCATATACCATTGAATAATGACTAAACCAGATTAAGCCCCAACCAGATTACTGAAGATGGTTCCTGCATGGGTCTTCCAACTGAAAACTGGACAAGGACACAAAGCATGCAACCACAGCAAAAAAGGAGTGGCAAAGAATGAACATACTAAAGTCAGGAGTAGCCTATCTATTGTCTGTCATAGGGCCCAAGAAACTGGGTCATCCCTATGTCCCCCAGTACCCATGTTTTAATGACCTATGTACCCCAGGACCCATGTTTTAATGACCTATGTACCCCAGGACCCATGTTTTAATGACCTATGTACCCCAGTACCCATGTTTTAATGACCTATGTACCCCAGGACCCATGTTTTAATGACTTATGTACCCCAGGACTTACATTCACCAGGACCTACTATGTTCCTCAGTACCTATGTTGCCCAGTACCTACATTCTCCAGTACCTATGTACTTCAGAACCTATGTTACCCAGGACTCATGTACCCCACAATGTACTTTATTTATCATCCAATGCATATTCCCATGGGAACATGCATTTATCATCCAACATGCATTGGATGATTTATCATCCAATGCATGTTCCCATGGGAACATGCATTGGATGATAAATAAAGTACATTTACCTTTTTTTTACCTTTACCTTTTACCAGTACCTACGTTCCCTTGTAACTATGCTCCCCAGTACCCACGTTCCCCTGTACCTATGTTCCCTGGTATCCATATGTTCCCCTGTACATATGTTCCCCTGTACCTATGTTCCCTGGTATCCATATGTTCCCCTGTACATATGTTCCCCTGTACATATGTTCCCCAGTACCTATGTTCCCCAGTATCTATGTTCCCCATTCCCCAGTACCCATGTTCCATAGTACTTGTGTTCCCCGGTATCCATGTTCCCCTATACCTATGTTCCCCAGTACCCATGTTACCCAGTATCTATGTTACCCAATATCCATGTTCCTCAGTATCTATGTTCAACAGTATCCATGTTCTGCAGTACCCATGTTCCCCAGTATCCATGTTCCCCGTACCTATGTTCCCCAGTACCCATGTTCCCCAGTATCCATGTTCCCCTGTATCTATGTTCCCTACATGTTCCCCAGTACAATGCATACACTGTAATTCTGTTTATTTAATTTATTTTACAAGACATTTGAAGGGTGTTCCCATTATCTTTCATGACTTTCATTATGAACCCCAGAAAAACATAGGGATGACTCCTGCTACTATGTTACTTATAGAGAATATGTTGTGTTTACATTTTTTTTTTGTTGCCTGACAAGAAAATGTACTGGATGAGGTCCGAACTGATTAGCCACGATGGTTTAAAGGCAACTTAGAAATTTTTTTTAAAAACTATTAAAATCTGTGTAAACGTAATCACTGTTAGACATAAGCCCATTTTAAACCACTTTAATAACTAGGTTACCAGGCAGTTTTTTCCCCCTCTGGCTTCAAGTCAAGATGATATCAACTAATAATAACATTCTATATTCGGTCCCAAGCTTCAGGTACAACAAACTCACGAGGTAGTGGTGCAGGGTGTACAGCAAACAGTAGTCTGTGTAAAGTCAGAACAGACTCTTGGAAGTTAGCCAGTCAGACGAAAGTGGGTTTACAAAGAATTGGCTTTTAAAGAGAGTCTATTTAACTCTGAACTAAAAAGAAATTAGATTGTTCTTTTTTACATTGCCTGTATTTTCACAAAAGAACCAGAATTACTGAAAAACTCACTGAGTAAAATAACCTAAAAGCTCTATAGCACCAAGAGACCTTTAAGGACATTTATTAGCTCCCTTTCAGTTGCAGTTTAACAACTTTCAATGTCAAAGACTTTCACCCCCGGTGCCTGGAATGTATTCATTTCAAAGTATCTGTAGTTACAATGTGCTGGTGGGTCGACTACCACTGAGCTGTCCTACAATATTTCCTCAAAATCAACTAGAATAACAGTAAAATGGATATTCTGTTCCAAAAAAAATGATTCTCATCTGCTTTGACTGTGATTTTTATTACTATCTGTTTTATAATCTTATCTTGAGTCAAGTTCAGGGTCAGGTGGTTTTATAACAGAACAGCCTTGCAGTGCTGGTAATGTGCACAGTTACCTACTGACTGAACCCTGACAGGTTTTTGACGACCTAATATCAGCTCTGTTGCCCTACACCCCTCCCACCTCTTCGCTGAGGCCTCCGTCGTGCTTCATGATGCAGTCGTACATGTCTCCTCCGTCGCCCAGCTCCAGAATGAGGTAGAGCTTGGTGGCCGTGTCGATGACCTCGTAAAGGCGTACCACGTTGGGGTGCTGCACCATTTTCATGCATCGTACCTCCTGGAAAAGGTGGCTCCTTGCCACTGGGTCCAGCTTGGTCTTATCGATCACCTTTACGGCAACCTGGACAGGAGACAGGAGTAGAAGTTGCAACTGCCAGCAAAACTTAAAGCATTTAGCCCTTTGTAAAGTCTGGATCAACTCTAGCAACAACTTTAAAGGCATGGGATCTCTTCACAAAAGCCAACACCAATGCAATCTGTTGTGAAATCAACTTTTTCAAACTCACTGTGCTCCCACTTCATGGATATTTCTGTTTATAAAAGTGAGTTCTTACTCAAACTGTATATTTGGTCATGAAGCCCCACTGGTTTAGTTTCAAAACATTTCACTCTTTATGCACAAATATGGACATGCTCACCTTTTCCCCAGTGAATACATGACGAGCCAGCTTGACCACAGCAAAGTGACCACGACCCAGCGTCTTGTCAAGATCGTACAGTCCAGCAATCTTCCCATCGTGATGACGTTTGAGCCCCGACATGTCTGCTGAAGACGGCTCTGATCAGAGGGCTTTTTGTTGCCTGCTGGGCTTCGGTTGTCAGTTCACCATATCATCATCTGAGTTCAAGTCCGATGAAGTTTGCGGCGCAGTCTGTGGTTGCGTAACGCCTTGAGGTAGCTTCAAGAAACTCCTGGCTGTTGTGGGAAAACAGATTTATCCAGTTCTACTCAGTTAGGCCCCATTTTGTTGTGATCTGTAGACGAGCAAAGAGAAAAGAGTCATATTCATACTGAAACACGGTTTTACAAGAAATCTTCCTAGATCTTTGAGTCATGATTCAGCTTGATGAGTTTTGAAATCCAGGTCCTATTGCTGTTTCATTCCTAACAGAAAGTGAAAGAAAACCAAATGTGCTGTCAGAGTGGCTTTACAATCACAGCAACCAGGAGCATTTGAACATATTTTTAGTGCCAAGAACATTTTCTGACTCAAACCACAAAAGAATCTACAACCATAAGTACTGCATCTGTTCTGTCAGGTCATGTGCTTATCAATGTCAGCTTTTTGTATCTGACAGATTTAAAGTTCTGCAGCCTCCTGACACTCGCTTGCATTTACAGATATGCTGATGACTCTGTACTGTATGTGAGTTTTTGAGGTCTAGCATCGACATTAGATTATGCTTTTGTTTGTTTTAGTCATTTTTACACAAAAACTGACAAAATTAAAGTGCCTGTGACATTAAAATTTTGTAAGAAACATGAATGCATTTTTGAAAACCTAACAATGATAACATTTTGCAAACCAAATTTCATGCCCTTGAGATGAACAAATGTTGAGATATTTGCACGTGAAGTACCAGGAAGTGATACCAAAGGGGAATGTCTGCATGTGAACAGAGCGTTGCTACAACAGCCGACAACACAGACTGTAGAGACGAATCTGATGTTTCTTTACATTATTTTGAGTCACTATTGAACACAGATGATGAAGAGTTACAATTTAAATCATACTGCTTTAATAAACAAAGACCAGAGAGTTTATTTTATTAATGAGTTCCCTTTTGATGTCACTTCCTGTTTCACTTTAGCTGAGCCAAATCCAAAACAAAATAGGCCAGTTATGTGACAAAATGGTTAAAATCATGTTTATCATGCCAAGTTTCTTAAGTATAAAGATGTTAGAGTTTTTGTATTTGAAGGATATGAAAGTCACAGGTACTTTAAAGAATCAAAGTTTGTTTTTTCCTTCTCTACTTTCTGGTGCTGACCTAATCTAGTTCTAGTTAAGACTCCATTGTGTTTGACGCCTACAGCCTTGTAAGAAAATTAGCAGGTTTTATAACGCAAAGATCCTCAATATGTTTTATTATTTCAATGTTATATTTATTTTATAGCTTTAGATAACACTTTCAGTTCTGTTGTTCTTAAACCAATAGTGCAAAAACAGGAAAATACAGTTTATATAATGAAATATTACTTGAAGGAGTGTGTGTCACCTTATGATTTTCTGGACCAAAATTCAGCTCAGTGTCTGTAAAATCAACAGTTGTAGGCATTTTTGTGTTTGATAGGGTCAATTAGCTGCGGTCACCATCTTGAATTGTATTAACTCCAAATGTTAGAAAGTTCCACCCTATTTACTTTGAGAGTTTATTTAAGAATCATAAACTTGTTAATGATATATTCTGTTAACAGACAAATAAACAGGAGCATGATTGCTCATTTCTTAAGGCAGCATGTAACAATAATATGCTATAATCTTTACTCGTGAAGACCTGTGAAACTCTTAATTAATACCAAATGTGGACCAAACAAAGGAACTGTATCACAGTTAATGACAATCTGTGTTACTTTTTGAACAGACACACAAATGTTTGGTCTTTTTTCTCCTTCAATTACCCTGAATTCTGATCCCTGTGCATACTGCCCCTTCACTCGGGTGCTCTCGTCATTCGGTACGTTGCTTCACAGGGTTGATTGTGAAACGGTGCCTGCAGGGGAGGAAAGCCTTTTAGCACTTTTAAGAATCTACCTGCGTGCCAACACTACAACAGTACACCTACGACATGAAACACGCAAAGTACTGGCGAAGAACATTCCTGAGAAGTGATTCTCACCTATAGGCGTTGGCTCTCTCACCTGACTTTACAAAGACAGCATAAAAAACTAATTAATAGTTGCAAAGGTAGCACACCTTAATGTGTGGAGATACAGACGGGGGAAACATGTTTTTAATATTCTACTGTTTGCCTAAATGAAACTATGAAACCAGATTTAGGGCCACAGATTTGCAACTTTTCAGAGTGGCTCTTATCAGGCTATTTGTGCCTTTCTTCACACACAAAACTCAAACTGATAAATACTGTCAGTTGTGCTGAACGCTGCGGGTGTTGATGTTTCCAGGATCTGAAGCAGAAACAGGAGGAAGTCTCACTCCGGTTTCAGATTTGACACACGGCTCTGACGACAGTTCAGGTTAAGGATCAATGTTCAACGTTGGCCTCAGTCAAACCAGCTAATCATGTTTGAACGGCTGATCTGCCAGTCTAAATCTAGACGTCTTATTCACCCCAACAGGGAGCGTTTAATCACTCGACAGGTTTAAAGTTGAATACAGCTGAAACCACAAGTTGAGGAGGAGGTTTGCAGCTCTAATCCCAGTGTGCCCCCGACCCCACCCCTCGTCTCTGCGACTTGTCTTGCTTCCAGAGAATTCATTTACAAGTGATGAATGCGCTGACATTGGTTACATAACCATTCCAAGGAGCTAGTAGTGTATTGATTGACCAGGTAATTGTGTGTGCGCACGCACGAAGACACGCTCATCCTGCGGTCAAGGACCTATTTTAACAGCTGCCCTGCTCTGGTGATGCATTCAAGATAAGAGTTGGTCGTTAAAATTAGTTTCCTGGTGCAATTTGCTTGGTAACCAAGCAAACACTGTAACAGATTGCGAAACAGCCCAGATTTGACACCTCACTGCTAAAGATAATATAAAATGTTAGCATTAGCGCCTTTTTTCACCTTTAGCAGAATCCCAATACCTGAAAAATATAATTATACTACATTTTTATGACCTTCATAGTTGTGTTTACTCAAAGAAAATTTGTTACACTTAAATATAATATATGATAAATTAAATAATTTGATAATATATTATGATATGTGACATGATATGGTATAATCAGTCATATCAACCAACATCATCATACAGTATTATAGCTAGATACCAGACTAGAAGATGGAAGTTGAAGCAAACACCCCTTATCGGCTGGCTGCAGTAGTACATTTAATTTAATTTATTTATTTAAAAAGGACAATGCACATTAGTCAACATTCAATAAATTTAAACGCAACAGAATTAGCACAAAAGCATCATTTTATCCATTTTTAAGTCCCGCCTCCTTTATTTAAACAATTAGGACAACAACAACAACAAAAAATAATAATAAAAGTACACTTTAGATTTTTTTAGGTGTTAATTTTCATTGATTCATACAGCTCTTACCTTGCCGCTGTATGTTTGAATTTGCATTTTTTAAAAGTAGCTTAGTTTCAACAAATGTGTTCAGGCTCAAACAATCACTGTGATTGACAGCCTGTTAGGAGATTATGGCTGAACTTCTGTAAAGGGCTGCACAATGTTAGACAAATGTTTGATACTTTTGTTTAATATTGCAAGAAACCCATATTTCCCTTACTCATCACTTTCTCCTCTGTCATCAGGATCATCTAAAGCAGATAGGGGCATCAAGACTAGTGAATGTATGTTTAACCAAAGATATTAGCAGCAGAACCTGAAAGCACAGAAATAAAACGTTCTTTGATTTCTTGAAAGCCAGTGTGATATTGATATTACCCTCTATGACGTTAAATTTAGGATATATTGTGCAGCCTGGTGTATAAGACATTGTGATAATAAATACAATATGTTGTGATAGAAAATTATAAATTTCAATAAAATATGAAAGAAAATAACTTAAATTAAATGAAATAATAAATGAGAGGAAATGACATGTTCCTATTAAAAAAGTAGTTCACTCAGGTATTGTTTAAACACTGATCTTTAAATAAAAATACAAATATACAGCGCACATCAACATCATTTTCTTAGCCCTCTAAGATAAACAGCATCATCCTGTCTGTGTCTTAATGCTGGAAACAAATGACAGAACCACAGGAGCATGCTTTGGATGATGGATAATTGATCAATAACAGGATCAATCGATGTTTGTTTGTGGTTTAAAGAGAAGAGCAGTGTGCGGTTGTCCGGATGGGACCCCCCTGTTAAAGCCCACCTTCTCTGTTGTCAACATGCCTGCTGGCTGCATTCATGATAACATGACAGCAGCACCACCACCACCACCACCAGCATCATCAACTGTGATGCATTAAAGAAACCCAGCAGACCTCCAGTCACTTCATCCTGGGCCCTCAGCTCCAACACGAGTCCTGTACTTACCAAAGACAGAGACCTGAAATCTGAATGCGTCCAATCTGCTCCATTTCACGCTGCGGGAGCGCGCGGGGGCTCCAGGCTCCGGACCGAGGCTGATACCCGCCTCAGCTCGGCTCGGCTCGGTTCGACACGGTTCTGCTCGCACTCCTGATTGCAAAGCAAGCCCACCGATCCGCGGGTTCATCTGTCACGCTGTCAAACCCGCTCTCGTTCGCTCTGGCGCTATCAGCTGCGCCAAGTAAACACGGAGAGCTGGAGATGCGGCTCTCCGAGCTTTCAAAATAAAAGTTTTACGTGGATGGCTTAATAACAGGTCTTGTTCAGCTGCTTTGTGCGGTTTCCTAATTTAATGTACCACTAAACAACATGTTATCTGTTTGCTTTAAATTATATTATGGGTAAAAATTTATTGTCTTATTTTTAAATTTGTTTAAAGAAAGAAACTAAACAAAATGAATAACTAATTAAATTTTAAAAAGTTTATCAAACACTACATGAAAAGGGTGCACAAAGAAACATCTTATGTCTGTCACTTATTAAAAAGCTCTAAACATATAGTCTATATTTAATTACCACCATGTTCAGAAGTTTATTGTAAAATAAACAACATAATTTTATTGATTCATGTTAATTTTGAAAACAGCTGCACATGGGAAAGACATATGACCATAAACAGTACTTGTATTGTTTTTATATGTACTGGGAGTACACTTTAAAGTAAACAATTAAAAAATTATTAACAAAATTTTTTAAAAAATTAAAAAAGGTCCAATTGGCCTTTTAAATTTTTTAAATTAGTGGATAAATCAAAGTATGTTAAAGGTACCAAATATTTGTGCGAAAATAATTATATGATTAAATTGCATTAGGTTAATACAATCACATCACTATAAATATATTAGAGTTTCTAAAAAAAAAACAAAAAAAAAAAAAACGATGGACCAGCGTGTTTTAAATTTCCTTCAGGTTTGAAATAAACCATGCTTTTATTTTGAATGTTTGTTCCAGCTTCCGGTGTGTGGCTTCCATGAATGACAGCTCTGATCTCTGACGTCAGAGTTACGCTCAGAGCCACAGCGTGTCTTTTCAGGCTCAAAACAGATTACCTTCTTTACCTGGCCTGTATTCATATGTCAGGACCTGCTACATAGGTAGACAAGGATGATACATCAAGTTTTACTGGCGCTATTCAAAGAATGTGCTAATTAGTTATTTATTTGTGCCCACGGACCTCTCTGATGAAACACTCGGCCATGTTTCTCGGGCTGAAGTGGAGCTGAACGCTTGGTGGATGGAGGAGGTGACAGAGGCTGTGTCAGCACTGAACCACCAGGGCAACGTTCAGCTGTTATGTCACATTTATAAACTTCCCAAATGTATTTTACGTAACAGAGCACCTTTCTTTGTGTTGTCTCTGAGGGTTCTGAGGCTGCCATCTAGTGGCCATTTTACGAACTACAGTTGAGTTAGAATAAACTTTTATAATTGTTTGACCCTTTCGCCGATTTATTTTCCCAAATACAATTAAAAACAATAAACTAAAACTATATTCACTTTTTTAAATATTAAGCCAAAGGACAAGAGTAAAATTATGAATGAAAAAATTGTGCACCACCTTTAAGACATACATGCAAGTTCTTTAGTCCCCACTTTAAAAAGCACGAGTAAACATGAAAATTAAGTGACTCACTGTTTTGTCAACTGAGAACCATTTATTTGAACTTTTTTAAGAACAGCTTTTTTCATTTTTGTTCTCAGGATCTTTTTCGTCTCTTTCAAAATGTCGAATCCAAAACACATTACCCTGTTGATATTCTCCCCTCAGCAACTTCCTGTAAACACCTTGAAAATGTTTATTTTTCTGATGGATTAAAGCTGAAGTTAACCCACCCTGCTGCCGCTGGGTCTAAATGACCCAAAGGCAGCTAAAGGATTGAATAAAAAAATAAATAAAAACTATAGGACCGATGACTGCATTGCCCCATCTTAATGGGCTCCCTCTGAGAAAGTTTAGAGAAATATTCTACAAAAAAAGACCAAAGAAAAGCTAATTTTATTTTGCTGTAAATTGGTATTTTTCAAGATGGCTTTTTTTTTTTGCCTAAAAAATGTCCTTATTTGTAGATTTTGTGCTCAGGTAGTAAATTTAAATGACAAGTTGAATGCTTCTAGTTCATCAAGTTATTCCAATAGAGCTGCTATAATTTCTGCCACATAAATAATTTAGAGAAACAGGAGGACAATTAAACACAGAATTTATTTTGTGAAAAATGTTCACTTCTTTGCCGCGACAGTTGCCTGCTTCTGGAGTTTCTTCACCTCCAGCTTGATGATCCTGTTCCTCTGCACAGATAAAATGTGTTCATTAGAAATATAGTCAATGCAGGTTTATTAAAACAAACTGCACACATGACCACTGATCATTAATAACTATCAAACTTTTAATGTCATTAGAAGTCAATTGTGTTTTTGTACTCACCATCCTCTTGGCCTTCATCAGCTTGAAGCGGTCAAAGTCAGACATGTTGGCTCTCTGTAGAAACACAACCAGTCAGAGAGATATGTTAGGTTTGCTTTTTGCTTCATTCAACTTGAACTAATGTGATTATTTACAGGATTAACTACAGCTGAAATCTCTATAATCACTACAATTTCCCTTTGGGATTAATGAAGTATTTTGAATAGAATTAAAATGCTTAAAATGGAGAAACTATGCTTCACACATTTATCATAATTATCTTGTGTGGAACGTCTTAAGAGGATCAGTTTAGGTGCATTAATAAAGTTTTTATTACAGTATGTCTCCACATTTTGAAGTTGTAAAAACAAATGCATGCTAATTATAACTCTTAATATTCTAGATGGAAATTTAAACATTTTTTGCTCTTCATTAAGTTAAGTGTTCATTAAGAGTTTAAACATGAGATGCCTGCTTTATGTACTGTCACCTTTGTTACAAATACTTCAGTTTATACAGCGTAATGTACTTTAAGTACTTATACTTAGTTTAAATAATTTACCTTTTAACACTTTATATAGTTTTTAAAATGGTGTTGAAATAGTGTTTTAGAAATCAACTGAATTGCTGAACATAATTTCTAGCAATAAAAATGAAACTTGTTGAAGTCGTTGGAAACAGGAAACAGTTTTACCTTCTTTCTGGCCTCGATCTTCTTGGCCCAGCTGCTCTGGGACCACTTCTCGTTGACTTGAGCCTTCTCCCAGGCTTTCCTGACAAACTTCTGGCGGGCGCTGTGGACGTCACATACAGTCAGTACAGGTACTAAAAGTCATTACGCTGTCTGTTTACCTCTTTACAAACAAAAACAAGCAGCAGACAGTAAAGCTTACAGTTTGTTAAAGAGTTGGGGGTATACTGATCTTCATTAACTGGAGGCTGAATTATTTTACGTATTAATCTGCCTCTGGCTAGAAGAAAAGCACAGAAGTCTCTCAAACTTTGTGCTTTAATCAAAAAAACAACAAATGAGGTTTGGAGGTATCAGATCTGCAGGATAATGTCAACTCTTTTGATCCAAGAAGAGGGGTGTCCAATCCTGGTCAGAACCAGAACCAGAAATGATAAACCCAGGCGAAAACAAAAACATCTTTAATGATCACGCACTGAAGCCTGGAGGGGAAAAACTGACCGTTTTACCTCTTCAGATCATACTCAGCTGCTTCAAAATCAACATGATTCATGTCTGACAACAACAGGGCAAACAAACATCACATTTTCACAAGTTGTCATGAACCAATAATCAGCTGACTTATTGTTTGCACCTTTTTCAATACTTATTTAATTTAAAATGAAGCCCAAAAATGATATAAAAGTTATATTTTAATGATCATTTTGCAGAACTTTACTATCCTGACAGCTCTACAACAAACAGGATCTTCAAATATCAGTCCTATACGGAATTTGCAGATTTGCTAAGACGTATATCGCACATATTTAGGGATCCTTTTAAAATTGCATCTCATAAAAACCTCCTTTTGTTTACACTTATACACAAACACAAAAACTTTAAATGTCAAGGTACTAATCATAAATATCCACCTGTGTCAGGTCGTGTGGTCACAAGACTACTGGTCTGTTACTTTTTGAGCAACACCAAAAAAGAAAACCAAAATATTCCTTCTAAGTGTTCAAACTTTTAATATTTATGTTGCTGTCAGTGCTGACTGAGCAGCAATTTTGAACTATTAAATGTGATTTTCCTACGTTGTATGGTCATCATCTAAAATAAATTTAAATAAACATCTATTTTTCGTGGCTACTAGCCTGATTAAAACCAGACCCTGTCCTTCACTTCGCTTCGTACAGAGGGTCTGGACTTGATGCATAGAGAATCATTTCATGCAGGAGGCGTGGCCTCTGCTGAAGCATGTGTGTGTTGTCGGTGTAACGGAGGCTGAGCTAAGAAGCTAAACAGAAATCGCGTGTGCTGTAAACCAGTGTTTCCCAAAGTTAGGGTCGGGACCCAAAGTGGGGTCCTGAGAAGATTTTCTCAATCAATTACATTTTTGCCTTAGTTATTTCAAAGGAGTGAGGTTAGTATATTTAAAATGGATAAATGTAGTACAAAAAATATTTTTACTATGCCCATGTTTTGTTGACCTGATACAAATGTTTATCATCCAAAAACAGTTGGGGGCTCAGGTCTCTGCTACTGTTTTGTATTATTTAGTGGGTCAAAAGCTGAAAAGTTTGGGAACCACTGCACTTTGGTTCCCAAAGTTGGGCTTGGGACTAGGGCTGCCACAATTAATCGATTAATCGACGACTAATCGATTATTAAAATAATCGATGACTAATTTAATAATCGATTAATCGTTTTCTTTCTTTATTTTTTTGTTCTTTACTTTGTTTTTCTCTCCAAACTGCTTTGACACTTTCCACTGCCACATCTGCCTTTCTGTCCTTGACACACATGCGCAGTAGTGGTAACTGGGGTAGGCCGTGGACGTCACAAGACATTATACAGACAGGCTCTGTTATCATGGCTACCCAGCAACGGAGCTCAAAGTGTGGGATCATTTTAAGAAAATGAAAGAGAAACCTGTGCAATATCTGCAGAGCAGAACTTGGCTTCCACAGTAATTATTTTTAGCTAGCATATAGCTAAAATCTAACCATGGTTATATAATAGCAGCTGCATTCTGGCGTGATAAGCTATGTTTTATATTCAATTAACGTATGATCTGATTAGTCGACTAATCGAATAAATAATCGGTGATTAATCGATTATAAAAATAATCGTTTGTGGCAGCCCTACTTGGGACCCAATTATGGGTCATGAAGCACCTTGGATAATCTCCAGAAATCAATTTAAAGGGTAATAAAAAAATTGCTGATGTAATATTTTCCCTATAATTATTACAAAAACACAAAATAAGTATTTATATTTGTGTACAAGCTGTTTAGATTGTCAAAAAGCCTGTGTTTTTAGGGTTAATAATGAAGTTCATGTACTCAGACCAGTAATATTTGGGGTCACAAGTTTTTGCCATGAATATTTTGAGGGTCAGAAGATAAAAAGTTTGGGAACCACTGATGTAAACAACTCTACTGAGAGGAGAAAAGTACCGAGCCGAACCAGACGACTGTAAATGAGAGCTGCTGCTGCTTCGTCAGACAAATTTATTTTAAATTGGAAGTCTTATCAACACGGACTGGCTTCTTTCACTTCCTCCACTGCCGTATGCTAAAATAACTAGCAGACACTGCACAGAACATCGACATCATTCAAATCTCCTCCTTCTGTTCTCTGATTGGCCCGGCTAAAAATCTGCCAGTGAAATCCTTTCCAATGGGAGAAGTCACAGACGGAGCAGTGAAGGGAAACTAGAATTAAGCGGAGCTGCGTAGGAAGGTAAGGGCCAGGCTAAGGCTGGAGTAATGGAAATCTGCATTGTTCACCACATAACTGACACACAATACTGGCATAACTTAGATCTTTAACTCCAACAAAAGCTGCTGGATTTGCCTGAGGGAATAAAACAGACTTTTCAACAACCCAGCAGACTTAATTCATCCAAAAATCTAACAGTTTTTGTCAGCACTTTTTATTCCACTGTAAAAATAAGGAAATGCTAACAACACTAATTTTCTGTGCTAAAATCTCGTTCTTTAGAGTGAATACAGGCTTACTTCTGATCCGCTTATAATAATGGTTAACATTCAAATTGCTGAAAAAGCTTTGTTAATAAACAGTTGCTGAAGGTTTTAATGTTAAGTAGAAATTGTGACAATTTGTGTCATTATTGATCCTTTAAATCTTTTTCAGTTAAACAACTGAGTTTAACATAAACCATTTATAAAAACGTTGTAAACACGTCTGTTTTACACAGCACAGTTGTAGCTGATGTCAACACTAACCTGTGAGGTACTTTGATGACGTAGTCAGTGAGCTGCATGCGTTTGAATGGCATGGCTTGCCTCTTCACTCCTGAGCAGGGCCCATCAACAAGAGCCTGGGAGGCACAAAGAAATGATCCACTTTTACCAAGTTTAAAGACAAGTCCGCCACACAGCAGCTCTCAGACACTTACTCTGTTTTGGTCAATGACATCTACGATGGCCACCAGCTTGCCAGCATAGGGTCCAAAGGAGATGTAGGCAACACGGCCGATCTCAACAAAGCGTTTGAACACCTGAGGAAAACAAAAATAAAGATGTGTAAAATTACAAGGGTAACTCTATGGGATGGGGACTGCTGGTCAGTGATGGTTACCATTTAGTTCATAATCTACATTAATATTACTTAGCCGGTCATGCTAAGTAATCACTTTATCAACAGAGAAGCTAATTCTACAACAGTATAAACACCAGAGAAATAAATGCACGATAAATACCACAGCTAGAATGATAGTTTGACTGCGTGTGCAGTTCATAAACTCAATGTTATAGAAGCTAAAACTAGTTCAGGCTGTAGTTCATCCGGCAGCTTTTCGGCCTCCACAACCCGTCAGACCACGTTGCGTTGCGGCTAGTAGCCGACGGTGTCCCGTTTACTTTTTAAAGTCTAAAATAAACGCACATTAATGAAAAACACCTAGCGTGTATGTGTGTAAAAGTGTTAGGAACACATGTGGTCTTTGTTGTTCAACAGAAATCACACACATGACGAGAAATTTTCACTTAAATATCGTCCACTTCTCATGGCGAACTCACCATGATGGCAGTCCGGGAGCAGAAAGGACGATACAGCTTCCGCCTGCCTCACTTACCACTTCCGCCTTTACCACACGCATGCGCAGTCAGCTGTTAAAACTTATGCGCTTATACAACCTTTATAAAAGTGTCTACTGTAGTTACTGTCTAAATTTTAGGAGCTACTCACTAATTATTTTTATGTTATTCTGAATATTTGTGTAATATCCACTGTAAAAGCTTAAAACAAACGTGTGCGTCACTCTCTCATATCGCGCCTATAAAATATCGGACATTAGCCGATCGAGTCAACACGAAATGTTGGAAATAAGCTTTATCGGGTCAAATTAAAAGGATAAAGCTTAATTTTATTGAAACTGTATCTTTATTAACTACGCAAAGCTCTTTAGTAAAACAATCACGCTAAATTAAAGATTTGCGTTAAAATTAAAACGATTGTTATTTTCAAATAGATAAAGGTGAACTGTTGAAATTACAATATTTTTGTTTTGTACTTGAAAGCAGCATTTAGGAGTGGCAGCAGTACGCATGCGCATTAGGTACAGTAGGAGACTTGTTTGTCCTCGTTAGAATCGTCTCCATTTTATACTCTGAGGACTGCTGAAGTACGAATACGGAAGTTACTGTTCCAGTAACAGACGTCTTTAGTACTACATTTGAGGTAAATACATTTCTTTCTTCGTTTTTTATATATATAATAGGAAGTTTTTTTTAAACACAGATAACTTTATTTTTTTTACTTTTTTCTACATTTTCCTCATTTGAGCCCGCGACTCGATTGCACGTACCAAAACTCATTTTTGCGACAAATCATAATGATACTTTGTTAAAGCCTTTTCTTTTTTTTAACGTACAAGTTTAAATTAAACATTTAAGGCCACAATTGAGATAACTTGTAGAAAGAACAAAAGTCTAAAGGTTGAGGGAGGAGCTTAAAGATAAGGGAACTTGTTTACCAAGTTTAGAAAAGTCGCACTTTACATTAAATGTTTTTTTACAGGTTTGTTTTTATTCACACTGAAGAATCATATCAATATATAAAGTATAATCTCCAAATTTTATTTACAATTAAAGTTTCCAAATTAACAAAGAGAAATTTTAGGTCTTTCTGACAGAAATGAACAAACAATACTTTACATTATCTTCCAAAACATTTTCTATAAAATAAAATGTTTCCTGCTCATTTACATGGTTTAATTTGGTTTTTTTTTACTTGTTTTAATTAACAGAAAGTCATCAAAATGGGGGACAGTAAATCGTAAGTACCAGTTTTCTGTTTCTGAGAAATTAAAATTAGACATAAATTGTGTAAAAATCCCCATTTTTTTGTATTATGTGTTTAGTTTGTTCTTAGTCACACTTAAAGTTTCAGTTTGGGGCGAGACTGAACCACACGGCACCACCACAGTACATCAGAGTTTCCTTTGTGCTGCTGAAAAACAAAAAGGGTTACAAGAGACGTAACTTTATATTGTATAATTATATACATACCTATACATTTTAGTTCATTCTATATGTGCGTATTCTAATGTTTCGCCACATGTATCAATGTGCATGTATCTTGTTGAGATTAGTTTCTTAGTTTTGTTAGATTTGCAACAACTTGCTCCACCGCTCAGCTCTTCCTCATTCGTGGTAACTCGCTGCGACACGCCTCGGCCTCTGCAGGATGAGTCATGTGATCTGACGCCATTTGCTCAACGACTGAAGTGGAGAACTACTTGAGTATCGGGGCAAAAGGGTGAACTCTTCAAATTAATTAAATAATAAGAATTTTACAATGAGTTTATTAGGACTGCATGGTCACCTGAAGCAGCTGCATTTAGAGGATCATCAGGACAGCAAAGATTTAGCTTGTGACCTGAAGAATACCACAATATTCACAGGAATCTGCACTCAAAGTAGAGTGAGTAGTCCTGAAATTCTCAGAAAGTCAACATAAAGCCGGTTCCTGTGGATCAGAAGGACTCAGTTCACGTGGTTCAAGCATCTGTTTGAGATATCTGCTTGGCATTGTCCTATGGAAGTGTTCAGGGTACACCCATCTGGGTAAGACGCCCCATGGCTGCTCCAAGATGTGCTAGCAGAATATCCTATCAGAACTGGGAAGTCCTCAGGCTGCTCTAGGAGGATCTAGAAGGCATTGCTGAGGAGGAGACCCTGCTGAACCCGTTGCAACTGGAACCTGTCCACGGATGAACAAAAGAGAAAATGGACTTTGGGACTTTTTATTCCTTTCACTCTGTTCATGGCAGGACTGGTGTGGGCGCGCGTCATCTTACTGGGAGGATTGGAATAAATAACTTCTCTGCTCTTCACATCTGGAAGGTAAACACACAGTCTGTATTGAAATGGTTGAAATGGGTGGTTGAGAGAATGTTTGTGAAGAAGAAAAGCTGGAGTGAACGGATCAGACACGACTCAGTACCATCCTTTCACGAGAACTCAAACAACACTTTTACTGTGAGACGGAACAAGATTAAGTGAGGATGATTCAAACTCTCAGAGCGAACACGTCATTGGCCCACGAGACTTGAAGAACAACCCTGACTCACTGGAACAGATGTTTGTGAGTGCTGGAGATTTCAGAAATGATGAATCACTGTTTGCATCTGGACAAAGTTTCTGTTATACCCAATCCTGGATGACAACAGGATATCCCAAAGGGCAAATGGATGATTTAAGATGAGGGTCGTTACTGACCAGGAGATGTCAGCAGAGAATGAGAGTGGTGCCGTGTGCTACAGAACATTAACTCTCTGTCATTCAGGGCTTGACACTATTATTGAGTTCAACCGAAGACAACTAGACGTCTTTTTTTGATTTTCTGAAGACGTTTTGCTTCTCATCCAAGGAGCTTTCTCAGTTTAAAGCAGAAGTGTTTTCTCCCAACCTTCCTAGTTTGAATTAAGAGAAGTGAAATATCTTTAAAAAATCAAAAAGACGCCCAGCTTCCTTCGATTGATCTAGGATTGTCACTCAGTACATTAAGTTAAGATGTTCTCTTTTTTTAGATTGAAAACAAGCAATCTGTCTGGTTTCCCACGCCCCAATGGAGTCATTGGTAAACTATCCAAATCTGAGCTTCACTTTGAATAAAAATTTGCAGTTGTTTAAGCCAGTTTTTAAAATTTGCCTTGTTTTGTAGGTGCAGCGTACCTAGAAAAGTTGTCAGACTACGTGCTTAATCATAGACATGAAAAGCACGACCTAAAGAGTCCAGCTGGTGCCACCTTGACAATAGGACCCCTGGAGGACACAGAGTATAAAGACAAACCCAGCGAGGTGCACGGGTGCAGCAAGTTCTATCTCCCTACTACAGGTCAAATGGTGGTCATCGGTTACGTGGAGGGCACACAGTACCCCTGCGATCAGCTCATCCTAATGATACACGAGAACGGGAAGCTGTACGGGTATGATGGAGATGAGCTGCACGAGGTGGCGTCCAGTTTGATGCATCTAGATAAAGCTGGGCTAGACTATCCTGCGTCCAAGAGCTACTACTACAGCGAGGCCTTCAAAGATGTGGTGAGTCACTGACTGAGAGGATGTAGGTTTTTATTGATGGTTTAATGAGGGATCACCTGAAAACAGTTATTTGGTACAGTGGGGAGAACAAGTATTTGATTCACTGTTGATTTTTCAGGTTTTCCCACTTGCAAAGCTTGTAGATGACTGTAATTTTTATCATAGGTACTCTTCAACTGTGAGTGATGGAATCTAAAACAAAAATCCAGAAAAATACAATGTATGATTTTTAAATAATTAATTTCCATTTTATTGTGTGAAATAAGTATTTGATCATCTATCAACCAGTAAGAATTTTGGCTCTCACAGACATGTTAGTTCTTCTTTAAGGAGCCCTCCTGGTCTCCACTCGTTACCTGTATTAACTGCACCTGTCCACACACTCAATCAATCAGACTCCAGCATCTCCACAATGCCCAAGACCAGAGAGCTGTGTAAGGACATCAGGGATAAAACTGTAGACCTGCACAAGGCTGGGATGGGCTACAGGACAATAGGCAAGCAGCTTGGTGAGAAGGCAACAACAGTTGGTGCAATTATTAGAAAATGGAAGAAATACAAAATAAGGGAAAATCTCCCTCGGTTTGGGGCGCCATGCAAGATCTCACCTCCTGGAGCATCACTGATCTTGAGAAAGGTGAGGAATGAGCCCAGAACTACACGGCAGGACCTGGTCAATGACCTGAATAGAGCTGGGACCACAGTCTCAAAGAAAACAATCAGTAACACTCTACGCCGTCAAGGATTAAAATCCTGCAGTGCACGCAAGGTGCCCTTCCTCAAGCCAACGCATGTCAAAGCCCGTCTGATGTTTGCAAATGACCATCTGAATGATCCAGAGGAGGAATGGGAGAATGTCATGTGGTCTGATGAGACAAAAATAGAACTTTTTGGTTTAAACTCCACTCGTCATGTTTGGAGGAAGAAGAATGATGAGTACAACCCCAAGAACACCATCCCAACCGTGAAGCATGGCGGTGGAAACATCATTCTTTGGGGATGCTTTTCTGCAAAGGGGACAGGACGACTGCACCATATTGTGGGAAGGATGGATGGGGCCGTGTATCGTGAGATTTTGGCCAACAACCTCCTTCCCTCAGTAAGAGCACTGAAGATGGGTCGTGGCTGGGTCTTCCAGCATGATAACAACCCAAAACACACAGCCAGGGCAACTAAAGAGTGGCTCCGTAGGAAACATCTTAAGGTCCTGGAGTGGCCTAGCCAGTCTCCAGACCTGAATCCAATAGAAAATCTTTGTAGGGAGCTTAAAGTCCGTGTGGCCCAGCGACAGCCCCGAAACCTGAAGGCTCTGGAGGAGATCTGTATGGAGGAGTGGGCCAAAATCCCTGCTGCAGTGTGTGCAAACCTGGTCAAGAACTACAGGAAACGTCTGATCTCTGTAACTGCAAACAAAGGTTTCTGTACCAAATATTAGTTTCATTTTTCTGGTGTATCAAATACTTATATCACACAATAAAATGGAAATTAATTATTTAAAAATCAAACATTGTATTTTTCTGGATTTTTGTTTTAGATTCCATCACTCACAGTTGAAGAGTACCTATGATAAAAATAACAGTCATCTACAAGCTTTGCAAGTGGGAAAACCTGAAAAATCAACAGTGTATCAAATACTTGTTCTCCCCACTGTCGTGTTTAGACCATGGAGTTCTGGGACAAGGTGAGGACTAGTCCTCGAGTGAAGAAGGCTGAGGAGGAGCACCGTGAACTGGTTGCTTCACGCAAATCCAAAGTTGCAGAGTTGATTGAAAAGAGCAAGGCGAAACAGAGGTAGGTGTCCATATTTTTGGTAGAAAAAAACTAGGCCCATACTTTTTTTTGTATAGTTAAAACTTTAAAGATACTTTCTTAAAATTTATGTAGTTGATTCTTAGCTAAAGAAAGACCATCATTACAGATAGTCTTTGTGTTAATGTCGCTGCAGCAGTTAAGGTTGTCCTCTCATTTACAGGTTACGTAAGCAACGTTCAGCCGTCTCACAATCCTGTCACAAGCTCCCCACAAGCCTCTCACAAGCCCCCCAGCCTATCTCCAGCCCCTCGTAGTACATGCTGAACTTGGAGACAAGTCTGTGTGAGCGCGCTGGTTCTACAGTGGCCCAGCTTGAGCTCTGACTTGAACTCTTCTCAAACGTGACCCAAAAGCGGCTCCACCAGCAGTCCCCGTCCAGCTAGACTGAGCTGGAGCAGGTTTGCTGGGAAAGAAGAGAAGGCTGGAGCTCCGAGAAGGAGTTATCTGCGGAATCAAAGTGGGCGTGTCACAAGAGTGGGCGTGTCACAAGAGTGGGCGTGTCACAAGAGTGGGCGTGTCAAAAGCATAAACACTGTGGGCTACGAGGCCTACATGACGGTATCCTTAGATCCTGCTTGATGTCTTTACAKCCTGACCCTGACCCCAACACTAAGGTTAACCAGGAGAAATGTGACCCAAGTAGGGGTCTCCAGCAAAAGTGGTGCCGTATAGTAACGCCCCTTTTGTTCTTGTCCAATCAGGTGGTGCCGTACGGTATCATCCCTTTTTTGCTTGTCCAGTCAGGTGTGTCCCTTTGACAAAGTCCGTCAAATCAGGTGTGTCGCTTTAGAATCGCCTTTCCTTGTGACACGCCCACTCGTCCGCAGAGACCCCGACTTGGGAGCTTCGGGTCCCGGTCCAGGTGTGCAACGCATCAAACTCAAAAGGTTGGAAGTGCTGCCAAAGATGCTTCAGCTCAGAACAAAGTTGAAAGTCTGAATTTGTGTGGAAATGTTTTTTTTTTTTTCAGTGTGTTTAAGAAAAAACACTTTTGCTTTGTCATTACAAAGTATTGAATGTGATACGTCTCACAATGTGAGTGCACATGCACAAAAATACAGACCTGCTTTGAGTTTTGAGACTGAAGCACGTCTAATGCTGCGTTCAAGGCTGGTGAAAAGCTGGGAAATCTGAGGTTTACCACATTTACTGGGATATTGGGGGGGGGGGGGAGAGAAGAGATTCATTTCTGACATCACTTATAAAACCTACAGTTTATTAAAACACTTCAGCTTGACATGGTTCCATAAATGTTAATTTATTGGACTGTACAGCTGAAATAAACAATCCCTAAATGATCAGATTATTATTTTTGTTGAAAAACTGCAGGTAAAATAAAATTGTCTGGTAAAATGTACATTTTTAATTTAGATTGATTTGAGCGGTACAGTCCACAAAATGTTATATTTTTGGAACCCTGTAGTGTCAAAAAAATTGTATAGGTCTTCTGGACGGGTTCTTCTCTAATGAAACGTTTCGTCTCTCTTCCAAGAGACTTCTTCAGTCTGAGAGTTTCAGGCAAAATTCAGGCTTTTAAGCACTGCCTCCATGTGACTGATACTCACATCACATGGCTATCGTTGACACCTAATTAACACTTATTGTTAACAGGGGATGAAGAGATACTGGCAATGGCCGCGCTGTAGGAGGGGGACAGCTGAAAACGGAGGCCTCCACCTCTGTTTAATGATGGACGGTCTTTCTTCACAAAAATGGCTTCTTTTACTCCTCTCTCAAACCAACGTTCCTCTCTATCAAGAATGAGAACATCCTCATCTCTGAAAGAGTGACCAATGAGGATCAGAGATGAGGATGTTCTCATTCTTGATAGAGAGGAACGTTGGTTTGAGAGAGGAGTAAAAGAAGCCATTTTTGTGAAGAAAGACCGTCCATCATTAAACAGAGGTGGAGGCCTCTGTTTTCAGTTGTCCCCCTCCTACAGTGCTGCTGTTGCCAGTATCACTCCACCCCCTGTTAACAATAAGTGTTAATTAGGTGTCAACGATAGCCATGTGATGTGAGTATCAGTCACATGGAGGCAGTGCTTAAAAGCCTGAATTTTGCCTGAAACTCTCAGACTGAAGAAGTCTCTTGGAGGAGAGACGAAACGTTTCATTAAAGAAGAACCCGTCCAGAAGACCTATACAATTTTTTCTTTTTGATTTTTTACCTGGATTACTGAGGTGCATCAGGACAAACCCTGTAGTGTGTTTAATATAGACTAATGTAAGGTTTATGAGCTATGAATGGGTAATTTATTTTCCCAATACCTCGGGTAATGTGGTAAAGCTCAGATTTCTGTTCTTCACCAGCAGCTGACGTGTGACAGTCTCAAAAGTCAAATCCACAAGCGAGCAGATTCGAGCACTTGTGCACGTGCAAATCTTGATCTGCTCGCTCAGATCTTGCTGTGCGTTCAGCTCCCATTGTGAGACGTTTTCCTCATCGTATCATTCAGCTGCAACTAAACAAAGTGAAGGGTTTGAATACTTTCTGAACCAGTTGGATTCCTTGTAGACAGACGGAGAAAAGCTACAGTATGAAGAGGTGCAGGTGTCTCATTCTGCAGCAGTCGGGTTAAACATTTATGTCTGCCTGCTTTTTCTACTGATGTGGATGTAATAAAGTTTGTGACTTCTAAGTATTAAACTTAAAAGATGTTTGCAGAAATACAACATATTGTGGGGATTTTTTTTTTAAACTTTAAGCCATAGGTGCCCAAAATTGGCCCGCCAAGCCATTTGATTTGGCCCACCAGCGGTTACTAGATTGTGATTATGTTAAGATTACATATAAAATACAAGTGACTACAAGATCCATTTAGATTAGACTTAAGCCCATATCTAGATTTGCACACCATACAAGACCCCATATACTCAAAATTTTTAATTATGAAAAGTGTCATGAGCCTTTGCTGCCTGAGCATACGTTGAATTTTCTCCATGTCCATGGGCTGAAAAAAAATGTGGGCAACCGCACTGGCTGCTAGCTTAATCATAAAAAATAAAACAACTTTACTTACGAAGTATTTGCATTTTTTATATTATTGCATTTGGCCCGCGACCCTGAGATTAATTTTAATTTTGGCCCTCTCAGGGAAATTGTTTGGGTACCCCTGCTTTAAGCGGACGTGTGCACACACTGACATAAAGTTCTTAAAAGAGGATTTCTGCATGAATGAGAGTGAACACACGACTCTCATCAGGGGAAACGTTTTATAGATAACAGGGCGGTGCCTCAGCCCTCGCACCAACTGCAGCTGGGCACGTCCACACATGGCAGGCGAATGCGTCACCCACAGGTGTGGTTGGCTGCTGTCTGAGGCACGCCATGCTCAGCAAGACAAGGTTCATTTGACAGTTGAACGAGCACTGAGATGAAAAAAACAAGGTGTGTTGGCAAGACAAACAGCTACATTGTGAACATGTTAAAACTAGATTTTCCTCTTGAACTAAACATATGAGCACTAGTGATATTTTCCCTTTGTCAGTCACTGAGTTAAAGTTATAATAAAGGGCACATTTACACTTTGCTGTATTACAGGTAATTTTTAGAACATCGCTTTAAAAATGATCATTAGTTTAGCTGAAAGCAGCCATAAGGCTGTGCAACCCCAGGCTGGCCCTGTTAATTCAATAATAACAACAGCAAAACTAGTAATAAATGACAATAAAGGTTTATGTTATCTTAAAAAAAGACAAGACAAACTATACCAACAAAACATCATATTTCTTCAAAGAAAAACAGTTGTGTGTTTGCTTCGTCTTATTTTAAAAAAGCCATACTTTTCTTGAGTTTCCTGGCGTCTTGTGATCCGACAGCCACGCCTGGAATGAATCAACAGTCCAGTCACTTCCTGGTAATTTGAGTTTAGAGGAAGGGCTTAACTTTTCTGTTAGTTTCATTTACTCTGAACTTACGATGGTGAGTAGCAGCTTTGTTTTTTCCTTTGTTGTTGCCCTATTTGTTATGATATTTTTTGAGGGTTTATCTGTGAAATAAGTGATTTTAAAGTAATAATGATTTTAATTCAAATTGCAGGCTTCTGAACAGAATGGGTAAGTCAGCTCAGTCACAGGAGCCTGAGATGGATCATAATCTGTTTATTCTCTGAAAGATGTTTTTTCTTTATTTCAGAGAGGATTTGAGGATTGAAGCAACGCATTTTCTAGAAAATGCGTTTCTGCTCATTGTGAAAATGTTAGAAATGGAAGTTGAGATTGAAGAAGACACTTCAGAATTAGTGGACGAGGTAAAACGAATCATGGCTTCATTCATCCCAACTCTCCACACTTCGTCTGACACATCTTTGTGTTTTCATTTTCAGCTCCTTCATTCCATCTTCTTTTTGGGACGTCTCACTTACCAATTCTTTTTGCCAGAAAGAATTTTTGAAGGCAGTGACCTTTTAGATGACTTGATGAGCAACTACCCCAATGCTTTTGAGCTCTACATGTCTCATGTACCTCGACGGAGCCCATTCTCATGTGTGCTGGACATGGTAAGACCTGCAGAGATACTGAGTTAAACAGAGTTTCTCCATGATGTACATCTATAAGAGATTACTTTATAGAGTGAGCACAATTAAAAATGGCTGCCACCTGACCTAAAAAAAAAAACCAATAATGGCCACACACCATGTTCAAAATAATTATGCAAATGATATTTTTCTCTGATGTTCCTAATTAGTCAATACAAATGACAGTCATCATTTTCCACTGTTGGAGTATAATTGAACACTATTGAAAAAAATCCTACTGATAACAGTATTTATTTTTTCTCCAAAATCACTGTTCCAAATTACGCACCAGAGTTTCAAAATGTTTTATAGGAATTGAAAATGGTCATTGTTACAGTAGGAGGTCATATTTACTGAAATCAAAAGTGATTTCAATCAAAAACATCTTAATAAATCAAGTTGCATTTTAACATAGAATCCAGTGAATTGGTGAGTTTTTTTTTTAGTTTTTGCTTGAATTTCTTTGCAGAATATCAGAATAGCCTCTCAGAGCAGATGTTATTATAGTTAACAGAGGTCTGTAAAATATTTGAAAAAAAAAACTTAAGTAAAAGTAGAATTACATGAACAGAAAATGACTTTAAATTTCACTGATGAGAATCAAGTAAAAGTCATAAAACTGTTCACAAAAACTGGGAAAGTGAAAGCACTTTTACACACCCTCTAAGAAATAAACTGTTAAATTTACTGAAACAAACTGGTTCCAGTAAGCCAGGTTGAGTAAATTGAGCGATATACTGTATGTATTACGCTCTGTTTACTCAGCAGGCTTACTGGAACCAGTTGACATGACTTTGTTGAGTAAATTCAACACTAAACTTTTTAGAGAGCAGAAACATCTTTCATGATGAGTTTGAACATATTTAATTTTGTAATGAGTAACTAGGTGTTACATTTTAAAGTAAAGAAGTAAAAGTATCATGCTTAGCTTTAAAATGTAACAAAATTAAAGTAAAAGTAGCTATTTAAAAAAAAATTGATAAAATTACAAATCCTCAAAAAAAACTACTTAAGTACTGTAACGAAGTAAATGTACTTAGTTACTATAAACCNTATGCAGAACTGCAAGCCTTTGCGGGACTCCAGAGTTTGCTGATTTGTAATGGTGTTTTAGTAGATGCTCTCTTAATGCAGTGTATTTGTCTGTCTTTATCTTCACAAACCTGTGAGTGCTCTGAATCAGCCACAAATCTCTGAACAATACGATGAACACATTTAAGTTTTCATGAAATACCTAAGATGTCCAATGAATTCAACTATTTCATGCTTTTCAGCAGCAAAGATCCCTTTTCCCCCATATTACTTAAAGGACAGGTCTGATTAATAATGTGGAACAGCCTTCTTCAAAAGTTTTCATTTTAATTAGGTTCACCTGGAAAACTAATCATCACAGGTGTCTGAGGTTGTTTACAGATACACAGAGCTTTGAGACACAATGAGTTTAATTGAAAAATAAACAAAAAAAACTACTTAAGTTCTGTAACGAAGTAAATGTACTTAGTTACTATAAACCTCTGCTAATTAATAATATTTAATAATCATCACAGGTGTCTGAGGTTGATTGCAGTGATCCACAGAGGCCTGAGACACAATACTATCCATGACTTTAATTGAAAAACAAAAAAATGTATTTATGACAAATATAATTTGCACAATAATTTGGAATGCAGTAGTGTTGAGGTTAAATTAGGTGTAGTGGTACGTGAGAGTAGTTTTCAACACATACTCTGAGATCTAACTGATGTGGCAAGAACTCTGCATGTTTGTTAGTTGACTATCTCATAAGACACAGTTTTATTCAATTCAATTCAATTCAAAAATACTTTACTGATCCCAGAGGGAAATTAGGTAATATAGATTTTTATCAAATATACTATATCGAATAGAATATAGAATATAATAGAATATATTGAATATTAATATAGATTTTTATTTATAGATTTAAATGCTACTTTAAAAATGTAATAACTGGAGGTACATTTACAACAGATTCATTTTTGTAGTCTCCCAAATTCAGGATGACCACCACAGCTAATCAACTCCAGCCAACACAAAATGGTGCTAATAGATGTCACAATATTCTATAAGCTCAGACATAATGTTTACAAGGTTTGACCAAATGAGGTCTAACTTTGACTCTTTCTAACATCAGATGATGTGCGTCTAAAACTCTGGCATGGAAAAAGATCCCGTGAAAAAGATCCTAAAGTGAATGTGACATGAATATCCTTCAAATACAAAGTCAAAAAAATATAGATTTAAGAAACTCGCAATCAAACACGATTTTATCCATTTTGTTACATAACTGGCATGTTTTTTTTTTTTGTAACTGCTCAGCCAACATGAAACAGGAAGTGACATCAAAGGGGAACTCTTTGAGAAAGGAAACTACGTTGATGGAAACATTATTATTTAAACTCTTAACTTTTCTTCATCTCTCTGATAGAGACTCAAAATAATCTAAAGAAACATCAGATTCTTCTCCACAGTCTGTGTTGTCAGTCGTTGTAGCTATGTTCTGTTCATATGCAGACATTCCCCCTTTGACATCACTTCCTGTTATAACAGCTGAATGTCTCAACAACTGTTCATCTCAGCTGTATTTTTTGCAGTACGTTATTAATGTTATCTTTCCAAAAATGCTTTAATATTTATTATAAAAACTTGATGTCACAAGGATTTTAAGTCAAACTTTATTGAGTGCACATGCTGACTCAATACCAGTTTGGATGTATAAATTGGTTTCTAATATTTTCCATTGTTTGCAGATTGTGCACCTGATTGGACAAGAAAACGTAGAGCTGATAAAAGAGGAGCTGGGGCAGCTCAGCAGCACATTAGTACAGAATGATAATTCAAAGATCCTGAATTCCACCATGGTCTGTATTTCTTGGGCTGAGTCAGTGAGGTACTACGGGGTCTCGATGTCCACACATCATAAGCCCGGTAGACAAATCGTCATCGCTGCATCCTGTCTGAACTTCTGGGATGATTGTGTAGCTGATGCAGTAATGACCTACTGTCCTCAGAAAAAGAAAAAGAAGTACTTTGACGGGACCATCCGGCTCCCAGCAGAAGTCAGGTGTGAAGCTTTTAACATCAGAGAGAGGAGAAGCATGCCTCCTTGTGTTTCATGCAGTGACCTGTTTGGTTTACAGACAACTGAAACAGAAAATAAGTCGCCTTACGGCAACTGTGCCGAAGCTGAGAGTCTGAGCAAGTTGTTCAAAAATGAAAATGTGAAAGAGCGAGTACAGCGGTCTGATAACTGGAACAAACAAGACAGGACAAGAGCTGAACAGGACGTTTTACGTCATCTTAAACAAGTACTGAAAAATAACCAACACTTTGAATGGAATAATAAAGAGATTAATTTCTATATCCCACATGCAAGACTTGACAGTGAAGAAGATGAGGATTTCAACATGTGAAGAAGGTTTTACATGAATAAATGTTAAAGGGATCCCTGATTAGTTGTAACATTAGACTTTATTTTATAAACATATATTTTAACTGTAAAATAAAGACTGTAAAAATACTGTAGGCTGTTTAGTTTTGTAAATATTTAAAAATATATTTTAACACAGACGGAGCCATTTTATTTACACACAAAGCATTCTGGGTAAATGATGACGTGGAT